AAGGTAACAAGGCTTTTCTATGGCAGATCTGAGAACCGAGGGCTTCTTGCCCTGTTGTCTTAACTAAATAACTATCCTACCTCTTCCTCCTGAAACCTCCAGTGGTCTCCTGTAGTTATTCCATCACAGCCCTTCTGGGTTAACTGGGCCTGGCGAGAGGGATTGTTAGGCTAGGCAGCCAGTATGGTCATGTCTAATGCTGATACAGCACAGCCCCTCCCCAATCTGCACTGTGGCTGGCAGTGGAGAGCATTGTTACCTAACCTGTACAAAGCATTGCAGAGCACATGGCTGACTCTTCTCTTTCTCCTATTCTAGAGGCTCAGAAGAAGCAGTTGGAATCAGGTATTTTGATAAATCCTCTGGCAAACCTGTGTCTGTGTTTCCACATTATAATTAAATAGACAATTTACCACCTCTGGGTGTAGGAACTTTACTCACCTCCATTTTCGTGTGTTTTCTGACCCCAATTAATTCCTGTAGGATACATCTAGACTACCCTGGGCTTCCGAAAGATATGCAGATTAGGCATGAATTTGCATATCTTCTTCTGATCCCTTTTTCAGACATTTTTTTGAAAAATAAAAAGAAGTGTAAATGGGGGGTTTCATGCAAAAACACACTTTTTTGAAAGAACCATGTAAACCTCATTTCCTGAGGAATAAGGGTTCTTTTGAAAAATGGGGGGGTTCTGCAAAAAAAAACCATCTAGACTTTTTTATTTAAAAAAAAAAACCTCTTCTGAAAAAGGGATTGGAAGAAGATATGTAAACTCACAACTAATTTGCATATCTTTTGGAAGCTGAGGGTAGTCTAGGCATAATGTTAGAAATAAGGTCATATACAGCAGAACGAGCAGCAGCTAAGTTTTCTGTGGTATTTTTCACAATGTTGACTGAGTGTCATGTTTATGGACAAGAGGGATGTACTGCACTGGTTAGTCACACACAGGGACAGTTGGGGCTGGGCAAGCTACTTCCATGATAGAGTCGTGCTGCAGTGTTGTTCCTTTTCTAGTCATGCCTCATCCCCTCCCATCTCTTCAACTGCACCTCACTCCCAGTCAACAGTGTGGTGGATTGAAAACTGTGTTAAAACTAGGATCCATCTGTGATGGAGTCCCCACTCAGGCTCCTTGGTCTGGGACACCTCCTGATCCACGAATCAGCCAGAGACGCTTCTGGTGCAGTCACCCATGCTTTTATTGTTAGTTACACCATCTTCTATGTACAAAACTTATAGTCAATTCAGCCAGTTCTTCTGTCTGCCTTCAAACACACCCTGGCTCATTGCTCCTCCTTGCCCCCTCCTGGCTTCCTTCTTCTCCTCTCGCCCAGTGAGGCCCACAGCTGCTTCTAATAATCCATCAGGCCTGGACTTGCTCAGCGGTTTCTCCTTAGCCTCTTTAGCCAAGCTACAGTGGAAGAGCTCTGGCTTAGCTGGCCATCTGTCACACCATCTCTTCAAATTCTTAGGGAGTTTTCTCAGCCTGCTCATAGACAGTGGGCTCTGTAAAGATGGGAACACTCAGGACATGTCTGCACCACAGCGTTATTTCGAAATAACAAGGTGAGCAAGCCACACAGCAAGCCCATTATTTCAAAATTATTTTGAAATAACAGGTTTCTTCTTCCAGAGCAACAAACCCTCATTTCATGAATCCCACAGTCGCACCCTAGCTACATCTACACTGCATTGCTATTTTTGGATATCGGAGTATCCCGAAATAGCTATCCTGCATCTTGATAGCAAGCCCATTATTTTGGGCTCGCTATTCTGATGTCCCTGTAAACCTCATTCTACAAGGGTTAAGGGACATTTTATTTCTAAATTTGGCACTGTGTAGACAGCACCAAATGACGAAATAAGCTATTTTGAAATAGCATAGAAATAAGATACACAATTTGTGTAGCTCAAGTTGCATATTTTATTTTGAGTTACGGTGCAGTGTAGATGCACCCTCAGTAGCCAAGCCTCTTCAAACAAGCCCTTGTAGTTTCACAGTGTTATAGAGGTGTTGTAGTTGTATTGGCCCTGAGAAAGATAGGTGGGTGAGGGCATATCTTCTAGAGCTCTGTGGTCTTGAAAGCTTGTCTGTGTTACCAACAGAAATAGATCCAAAACCAGTATTTGTTCACCTGTCTTGTCTCTCTCTCTCTCAGTGTTACAAATCAGTCACTTAAAGGGCATACAGCACTATAGGCATACAGAGCTCTTAAGTTATATTACACGCAGTGCCTCTGCTCTTGTTCATTAACAACAATAAGTGGGATTCTCAAAGTTATTAGGTGTCTAACACATTGATTTCAATGGGAGCTAATGCCTATATTCCTCTGTGGACTTCACCCAACATAATTTTGGCTCTGAGTTACATGGTTTAAATCGCTCTACTCCAAATTCCACGTGCTGAGTTTGTGTTTCTGTCTTCTCTTCCCAGAACTGCATGATCGAAGCAAGAGAATTGGTAAGTGCGTCAGTTGCCCTGTCACTGAGCAGAAGTCACCCACTGCACATGGTGCTGAAATGTCTATGCTACAAGCCTTGTCTGCTGATCATAGGACAGAGAAAAGAGTGTGAGGCAAATCTGAGATAGCCACCTCACCCTTTCCAGCATGCATCCGTTCTCCATCAGAAATGTGAGAGCTATGAATCCTAAGGCATAAAGGATCGGTTGACAAAGGCTTCCCTTGTCGACTGATCTGCATCTTGACTTGCATGCTGTGCTGACAATCAGCTGAGCCAGCACAGTGTGGTGGCCATTTTTATTTTAATGAAGCCAGGGATATTTAAATCTCGGCTTCAGTGACTATGTCGGGTAGCCTATTTTACATGCCTCTGGCGACAGAGGCACGTAGTCTAGACATACTCAAAGAGATTCACATGGCTTTGGATCAACAGAGCTCCGCTTAAGTTACAGGGAATAACACAATCTCTTTCCATTTCAGAGAGACTGACTGCAGAATTAGGTAAGGTGATATGTTTCTATGTCACATGTCATGCACTGAGTATTCTTTATATGCACATTCTAATCTGCTCCAGAAGGACATTGCTTCTCTCTACAAAGGTCCAGGCAATCCAACTTCCATAAACATATTCATCTTCCTTCCCTTGCAGATTTCAGGAAAGCTCGAAGCTACATGGGTGAGTAGGAGGGTTCTGGGAGGCAGTGTTGCTTCTGAGCTGGGCCAAATATGTCTGCTGATAAATTGTTTGACCACACTTTGGTTCATCATTATGAAATATGCTCAAAAGACCAAATAAGCATATAATTAAGCATTAATATGTCATATGGTACAGGAAATAGAATCTATGAAATACCTAGCTAGGAAGAGCAGTCTCCTGTAGTATTAAATAGTGTTAAAACATTGACCTGACACAGGAGTGTTAAATTTTTAAGGCCAGACTTTTATACCCTACTTTGTTTCCCAGTAAAAGTTACTATCTACATAATTTGAAACTAGAGTCAGATTTCATCTCACTTTTTTCTTGTCTTACGATGAACCCTAACCTTTGTTCTGGGTATGTGCATTTCGAGTTCTAAGAGGCTTGCAGACACCTCATAGTTCCTGTACTAGGATAGATTGAGAGGGCTACTCCCTTTTTGTTGCTGTATGGAAACAATTATATGTCTAGATATTGTCAGTTTTCCAATCTATTTAAGCCAAAGTTTTCTTCAGTTAATACAAGATTTGTGGGATACTTAGCATAAGTAAACAGGATTTTGACTCACTTTTATGGCCCTCTGTGGATTGGTCTTGCTCCTATGTAGCACATTCAGAAGAAGAGTCAATTGTGCCAAGTGACACAGAATGTGGATTAGATTGAATGGATGGGTTCTCTGAGCTCTTCCTTTAAATCCTGCTCTCCTTCTGGTTTGCTGTCTTCTTGGAACCTGATAGGGCCTCAAGGGATTTTACTCATCTATTACTAATGTGTGGTTATAGGGTCATAGAAATGTTGGACTGTTTGTCTAAAAAGTTCTTTAAAACCTCTAATGTTGGGATTCCATTTCCACAATTGGTTCTAATGCTTCTCATCCTTGGCGTTAGATAGCTATTCCTATTATCTAACATAAATCTTCCTTGCTGAAGATTAAGGCACTTCATTTCTGTCCTGCCCTTGGTAGATATGAAGAACAATGTATCTCTTTTTCATAGAACGTAACATATTTACAGACTGTTATCAGGCCCCTCTCAAGGCAAGACTTCCCCAGTTTTGTTAATCTTGGTCTGGTTTCTCTCCCCAGAATCTATCACTCTGGATACAAATTGTATGCACCCTGAACTGAAAGTATCTACAGATCAGAGAAGTGTCTGGAATGAGCCTGGATTTCCAGAATCAACCACACCCTCTGAAGTCCTGATCGCAGTAGGGGAGTGTTTTGTGAGGAGGAAGCTGTATTGGGAGGTGGAGGTGGGGGAAGAACCAGACTGGGAGCTGGGGGTGCTAAGTGAGACTGTGAGGGGTGAAGTGAGAGAAGCAGCATTAGAGCACCCACCTGTGGAGGGATGCTGGTCCCTGCGGAGGTCTGAGGGGCAGTATTACCCCACTGAGGCACATACTAAAATCCAAGAGTGGGATTTATGGCCGACAGTGATTGGAGTTTATCTGGATAGAGATGCAGAGACCATTTCATTTTATAATGTCAATGCCTTGGCTGATATTTTAGTGATTCCTTTTGACAATTCAGAGAAAATGTATCCATTCCTCAGGCTCTCCCCTGCTGTGGGAAGAGACAAAGGGAAATCCCTCAGGATCTGCCCTGAC